CTACCTACCTACCTACCTACCTACCTACCTACCTACCTACCTACCTAACTAACTACTTACCTACCTAACTAATAAACTATCCAACCAACCAACTAACTAATAAACAATTAAATAGGTATTCCACATCCAATGTGATACATAAGAGGTATCATAAGATAGAACTTTATTGATCCCACAGGAAATTGTTGGCAAATTCATATAAGTGTTTATACAGGAGGGTAAACCTTATTAAGGATGAACTCCTTTTACTGCTCTCCAACATCTGAACTGTCTTATGGATTTACAGCAGTGGTGGAGAAAGTACTCAAACACTGTACTTAAGTAAAAATACAAATAAACAGACAAAAATGTACTCTAGTAAAAGTAGAAGTACCACATTAACATTTTTACTTAAGTAAAAGTAAATAAGTACTTGCTTTTAAAATACTTAAAGTATTAAAAGTAAAAGTACTTGCTGAATGTATTACCCAATGTAATGGTCTACATATCTTTAAGTCTGCGTACCATATGTATATTTTCTGTAATACATTAATAGTGTTGTTCCATTTTAATGAACGATGCTGCAGATAATACATGTTTTTATTGTGTTTACCCTGTGACACATTTCACACTTGGACTTGTGATTCTGTGTCAGAATTTCAGGGATGACCTGCCGAGTTAAATGACATTAAACAAAATAAGAAAGAGGAATGATTATACCTTTGAAAGTTTTTATTTAACACAAATCAAAACCCATGTGTCATTTTAACAGCAGTAAACACATTTAAGTAAAAGTTGTCTGCCTGAACAAAAGGAGCATTAGACACAACTAACAAAGAAATAGGCTCTGATCATTTCAACTGATATTTCAACTCCAGTTTGTCATCAACACTAGTTAAAATGTCTATTCAACCTTGTAATGGATCAATATTGAACAATATTTTAACTTCCTGACACCATTTTTAAAACTTGGACCTGAGTGTTGAGCCATTTGGAGACATTTCTTGTCTCCTAACATCATGAACTGACACATTTTAATATTGCAGCAATAATTTATTGTTCAAGTTCAGAAGAAGTTGGTTTTCAAAGATTTTTGAGTCCAGTCTGGCTCTTTTGAGAGAGAGAATCTGTCCTGTTGTACTGAGCAGTCATTCAATAAGGCCATGTGTGGAGCATATCTTCTGGGTGACTCTCTTGCGCTGGAATACATTTTGGGTGTGTTGGTGCTGCGGGTGCACCCAGCTCAGTGACATATATACTAGAATATATGTCATTGGTCCAGCTCTTCTTGAAGGCGGGTCTAACATTACCTGCCCACTTTGCAGTGATTCACTGGACCAGCTCCCCTTTCACCATTGGTTACTTTCAAAGTAACAAACAAAACAAAAAGCCGCAACATGAATGTAACTTGTAATGCAACGCGTTATAGAAATCTAGTGTAGTAGAAAGTACAGATACTTGATGTAAAATGTAGTGAAGTAAAAGTAAAAAGTACCCATATTTAACTCAACTTAAGTAAAGTACAGATACACGAAAAATGTACTTAAGTACAGTAACAAAGTATTTGTACTTAGTTATATCCCACCACTGATTTACAGGTTTCATACTTTTAACTATGTTAGTTATAACTCGCATGAAAAATAAATAAAAGGAAAGAGGCATTGGGGCTGTTTAGGAAAGAAAATCAGACTTTTTTTTTTTTTTTTTTTTTCCAGACGTGGGTGTCTGATTGAATTTTTTAATTTCTACTTTAATAAGTTGTTTCCCCAACCCGCTCTCTGCGGACAGCTTGGCATACTTTTTTTTAATTAAGAAGACGTTTGATTAAATTATTATTATGAAAAATATGTCCACTTTGGAAATTAACACAAAAATAAAAGCTTCAAAAGACTGTATAAAAACATGGTCATGTTCATTTTTTTTGTTGTAAAAGAGAAAAAAAAACCCATGAATGCTATGTATGAAACACACATGCAGCTTGATTTTTATAAATACTTTTGTGGCCTTTGCTCACCTCTCCTCTGTAGATGATTTCTGTCAGACTCTTATCGACACCCTGGAGGGCACACCTGGACTGCGCTACATTTGGAGCGCCTTCAGACCGTTACTGCGAGGGAAGGTCCTGTACGCGCCTGATACACCTGCTGCTCGTCTCCTGGTGAAAGAAGTAGGTTTAGGAGGAAAAAATAAATACATCTGTTATGTTGCTCATGCTTTATTTAGTTTTGCACAAAATAAAGTTTTTTGGGAGGGTACTTGCAATAAGTGACCTAATCACTTGTGCAGAAAACACCATTTACACAAAAGGTCTCTGCAAAATTGAATTACAGCCACAGTTCAGATCTTTGGAAGTGGGGTTATGTGGAAAGGTTAAGTACCGGTACAATTAACGTCTTACTTGTTTTAGATAGATTTTTCAATAAACTCAGTTTGGAGAAGTAGTTTCTGATCTCTTAATATCCAAAATGTTTTCAGCAGTTCATTCAAATGCTATTATATGAATGTTCAAACTGTTGTCAAATTTAAATTACACAGTCATTTACAAAAGCAGATTTTTAAAATCACATTTAGCCAGATTTCAGCGTAGTGATTTACAGACAGATGTTACAGATGGTTTTAGAGGTCCTTTCAAAAACAGAAATGCTCACAGGGTCCATGGTTGTGTTCAGTAAAAACTGAACTCATAAACCGGTGAGTCGCTGTAACAAAATACTGAAATGCAGCATTATTGACCTTTTTACAGATTGCAAAACTACTTAATTTATAGGTTTGTACATACAAGTCAATAAAAATGAGGTGTAAAGGACAAAAAAGACTAGAGATGAATTCCAACCTTGAATACCAGAAATAGCTATGTGAGGTGAGTGAATTATATTACATTACAATGTAGTGGGGGAGAGGTAGTACAGAGGTTAGAGAAGGTGGGCCTGTGATCGGAAGGTCGCTAGCTCAACTCCCTGGATCAACAACATCAAAAATGTGCCTTCACCCACATTTGCCCCACTTTTGATCCCTTGAGCAAGGCCCTCCCCCGGGTGCCCTAGATGGCAGCTCTCTGCTCCACATTGAGGGCTCTGGTAGCTCTGTGGTCTGTGGTTGCATCAGCAAGGGCATCCGGCACATAAACAAATGCCAAGTCTTTGTGTGAGTTAGTTCACCGTGGCGTGAAGAAGGGAGAAGGAAGAAAGAAGAAGAAGAAAAGTAAGTGAAGTATATTACAAACAGTAAAAAAGTCAATTAAGTACAAAGTTTAACAGGTTCAAATGAGTAGCATAAAGCTAACAATATTAGCATCGACTACTAGTTGCACCAAAATCTGATGTAAAGTTCAGAAGTTCACTGCAGGGATGCTCACTAACAACGCTAACAAAAAACCTTAGTGCAATTTTAAAACCAGTCTAGACTAAAATATATTCACAAAATTAAGTGAATTATGTTTTATTAATCTTTACATTATTGGCAGTTTCACATTACATTGATAAGTAAACACATGTTTAAATACAAGCACAAATAGCAGCAGCTAGCATCTAGCTAACTTTAGTTGCAGCCTTTGACAGAAATGTGTTATTTTTGATGGAATATTCATGTAATTCAAAACTGACAGTGCAGTAAAGGTTTATAAAACAGCATTAATATCAACCACTATAAAAAATTATGAGATTGGAGCAGTTTTAAGACAATAGCAAACACTTTTATTCTAGGCTCTGTTTAGCTGTTAGCTCGTCAATCTAGTCAGGATTTACCGGTAACTTTTTGTGACAAACTGAGGTTGTTCCAAAAGCTTTCAACAGCCTGTAAAATAGTATTCATAAGATTTATGCACAGAACAACGCTTCAAAAGATCTGCTCAGTCGCTTTAATGTATTTATTTACGACACTGTATTTCTCCAGGAGATCTGTATCTCTCAATCACAACAAACCACGGAGGATTTTTTTTTTGTTGCAATTACATAATGAGGGTGAGCGCAAGCCGCCGGCGTCACAGCAAGCGGCCCGGTGTTCTACTCTTCACACAACACAGACTGTTTACAAGTCAGTGTTCACGAGTAAATAACCCCATTTGCATTCATCACCTTTGGGAGAGAAGAATGAAGAGCGCTGGGGTGGGAAGCAGCAGAGTAACGATGTCAGAGAGTGAAGATGTGAAGTACTTTAATGTCTTTTCTGGTTCATTGTGAACAGAAGGTGCTCAGTGCTTTCCATCAGGAGAGGAGGGGGCTATTATTTACCACTAAAGATTATTTGTGTTTTGTTGTTTCAGGCAAATAGCACGTTCAACGCCCTGGCTATGCTAAAGGAGCTCGCGGATTCATGGGAGGAACTTGGGCCACGTGTCTGGGACTTTATGCAGAACAGTCCTCAGGTCAACGCGTTGCGGGTAATAACACAGTGATTCAAATCATTGCTGCCCTTTTGATTTTATTTTTTGTTTTTAGCAATCTAACTACTGCTGCAAACGTTGTGTTATTTTAGCCATTTATATACCGGCATATCATTATCATGATCATCATATTAGCTCATTCAGGAGATCGGTGCTCTGTCTAATGTTTTTTGGAACATTTATACTTTAAATATTTTCACCATAGAAATGGATAATCTCTTCAAATCCTTCAAAAACAATGTTCTCTTTAAAATTAGCTTCATCATATTTGCTCTATTTTTTCCTTCCTAATTCTTCCTGCTTTTCTCTTTAAGAAAATGTTAAATCTTTAGCTTTTAGGTAGCCTTTTGATATGTTTAACTAGATGTTTATTCCTTTTAGCGTATGGCAAACTTCTTGATACTTTAGCTTCCAACAAGCCTTCTGGAAGTTTTAGTTTCTAGCTAGCCTTTGGATGGTTTTAGCTTGTCTTTTCTTGTGTTTAGCCTTTAGTCAGCTTTTTGCTACTTTTAGCTCTTAGCTAAACTTGTAGCCTTTGTTACAAGTTGTTTTTGCTAGGTTTTTGTTATGTTTAGCTTTTAGCTACCTTCTTAATCTTCTAGCTAGTCTTTTGTTCTGTTACTTTCAGCTAGTGTTTTGCCTCATTTTGCTTTTAGCTAATGTTCTGCATTTTTCTTAGCTTTCTTTTTTCAGCACTCAGTATTTACTGGGTACACTACATTTTTTGAGAAAACATAATTTCTCTAGTTTATTCTTTCTTTGACATTCAGAGTTTAATCCCTAAAATCGTGTTTTAAAATATTTTTAACAATGCTGAAACTTTTATTTTGTTGTTTTAGCCGTACCAATTTAATAGCTTAGACAGAAAACTACAAAGTAAAAAAATGAACCATAGGGGGTTCTTATGTGTTTTGGCTGATCTTTGTCCACTGTTGCAAAGCGAAGACAGGGAATTGGAAATACCATCCTTCTGTTCGTGTTGTGAGCATGAAAAATAGGTGATATACCGATCTCCATGATGGTGTGCGGCTACATCAAGGCATAAAAAAGGTTCCTTTCAAAATTGGGTTGCCAGGTCAAAATCCAAGATGGCTGCTGCCATATACATATATATGTTGACCTTTTGAGCTGGATAATGTGAAAAATAAGCAACATGCCAACTTCCATTTTAGAGTGTAGCTGCATCTTGGTGTAAGAAAGGTCACTATCAAAAATTGGGTTGCAAAGTTCAAATCCACGATGGCTGTTATGCTTACTTGATTTTGTGTCGTTTAAAAACATAGTTCCCTCAAATAATTGGGGTGGCCAAAAATGAATGCAAGGTGGCCAAGGCCACCACTGGCCACCCCCTGGCTCCGTCATTGCACTTGTTTGTGGATAAAATTACTCCCTTCACTTGCAAGGTTCCATTGTTTTGTGCTGCCTTAGGCAAGCAAATAAAAACGAAAGAAAGAAAGAAAAAAGACAAAAATCACCTCTGTCCTTACACACAGTGTAACTCCTACCCACTCGAATATCTTGCACCAAAAACACTAAGGCGTACTTGTATCCCCTGATCAATTCCAGTACAGAAAAACACAAATCTCAGAAACTACAAATATTCATTATTTGAATCCTTCAGCGACAGGAGATGCTGGCATACCGTTTGTTAGAATAAAAATCGTCCAGCTAAAACACTAATTAAAACACCAAAGATCATGCTCAATAATCCAGGTGCAGATCCAGCAATGTTCAGTCAGGTCATCTGGATGGTTTCTTTTTTTTTTTTGCCGAGACCTTTGTCCTTCATTCAAAGGATTTCTTCAGTCCAAGGAGCCACAAACAAACTGGAGTCCCACAACCACCACTCTCCCATAGTGGAAAAATAAAAGTTTGCTGTGATAAGATGGTTTCTGGGGCCCACCCTCTCCCCCGTCAACTCCTCTGAGGCAGCCTTGCCAAAATGGTTCAAAACACCAAAGTTCATGCTCAATACAATACTGAACACAACTAAAATGTTGAGTTGTCACATACTGAGTTGGACAAGTTTTTGGGTAGACACAGTGGCCTCATAACAAAGTTAGTTTGTTTTTCACTTGGTAGGAGCCCCACTGGCTTTATTCTGCAATAAGTACCATTTGACGCAGCATTTGGGCTCTTGTCAAATGACCCAGCTGATATCCCAGTGCTTTAATGGCTCCATCTCTGATGAGCAGTGATGCAAACATAACACCTGCGTTTGCTAATTTTCGCTGAGTCTGACATGTTTGGGACAACTCATTGTCTTTAAACACACTTTTATACACTGTTAGTGTTTCACATGGGGGCCTGAACCTGGAGGCTCTGAGACCGACAGCACCAATCTAAAGATTTTTTTAAAAGTTGCGGTGGATCAGCTTTTCTTTTCTGTTCAGCAGCTGCTTGTTCGCATATGTAAAGCTGATTCCTTCAGTTCAGTCAAAATAAAATATATTTTCTCCCCTGTAAGTTCTTCCTGTTACATATACATGGCGGTGGCCATCTTGGATTGTGACTTGGCAACCCACTTTTCAAAAGAACCCTTTCTAATGCCTAGTAGCCACACACCAAAGTGAAAGTTGATACCTCATTTATTTTTCAAGTTAATCATGTGCCCACCTTTCAATCCAGTTTTCCCTTTTCGCTCTGCAATGAGTGACAAAAAATATTAAAACAAGCAACATTTTTTAATCATAAAGATAATGTGTTGCTGTAATACAGGATCTAGGCCTGGCTTACTCAACACTGTCTATGAAAGAAACCGTAGCAATTCAGTCGATTGTGTACACAACAATAGCAGTCGTTTTTTTCTGAAACTAAACATTTTATAATCCAGGTTTCAGTATGGAAGATTTTGGAAACCATAGCATACCATAGTATTCCATACCACACTATACTATTACATACCATACATACCGTACTGTACCATACCATACCATACCATACCATTAGTATTCCATACCACACTATACTATTACATACTATACCATACCATACCATACCATCGTATTCCATAATATTCCATAGTATCCATACCATAGTATTCCATACCATAGTATTCCATATACCATAGTATTCTATACCATACCATACCATACCATACCATAGGATACCATACCATACCATACCATACCATACCATAGTATTCTTTACCATACCATACCTTTTTTTTTTTAATACAACCACAGGACAAAAGTCAAGGTCTCTCTTGAAAATGAGCTCTCAAAAAAAGAAAAAAAAAAGAAAATGAGCTCTCGTGACTCAATGAGACTAAGCTGTATTAATAAAGGTTGAATGAATGAAAAAAAGTGCTGTTCAGTTTTGGTCAGTACAACATAACAGCAGTCAGAATAAAAGCCTAAAAAACAAAACAAAACCGCCTTATAATGACAATATAATCACACAAAATCAATTAAAATCAATTAAAATGAACTAAACATCAATATCTCATATGATATTAAAAGCCAAGAAGAAGAGATTTAAAAAAAAAAGACAGGGAAGAGGCCTGTCTTATTCCCAAAGAAACGGTTGTTCCAAATTGTAGAAGTAGCAGCAGAGCAAGCACGATCCCCTCAAAGCTTTCATATAGTTTTTGGCATTAGCAGCTGCTGCTGACCTGAGAGGACAGGAGGGGACATGGAAATGTAGCAGCTCAGTGAGTTATGATAGGCAAGACCATTTAAGGCTTTAAAGATAAATAAAATAATTTAAACATTAATCCTAAAATGTAGAGTCCCTGACATGATCACACATGTTCACTATGAACAGCTGCAGTCAACAGTTTATCAGTGTTGGTGTGAGTAGAAAAAGAACAGTAACAGTAGCAAATAGTAGAGTGCTGTTTGTGCTGATCACTCTTTTTCAACATGTAGGTTATTTAAATACAAAAGCCACAGGACCGATTAGTGACTGAGCATAAAAACTATGGTGGATTTAATGAGTCAAACAATAAAACAACAATTAAAAAATGTGAATGCTTTCAGCGACTATTAGCATGTAAACAAGGCCTTAGCTAAAAGTGCAATTTAATGTAAAATGCAGAATATTATGGAATCTAGGTTTTTCCTCAACAATCTGTAATTTTCTTACACTTTTATGGGAGAAGGACATATTTACATGCATAAATGATACAACCTGACAAAATCATTTTAGATGGTAATTCCATCTACTGGGATATAATTTAAGGAAGTCTAGAGAATATTTAAAAAAAATGGTTATTGTTCAACCCTACTATAAACAGTCTATCTTTCCAGCCTCCCAGGTTGCGGAGCCTGATCAAGCTGTTGCAAACCAATTAATGTTCTGCAGACATGCTTTAGGTGTGACATTATTCAGCAAACAGTGCCGAGCTACCACATTCTTTACATCGGAAATGGAAAGTTCATTTTCACTGAAATTGGAGCAACAAAAAACAAACAAAAAAATGGCAGTGTTTTCTTAATCAAGATGTCTTCATTCTTCTTCCATCTGGCATTCATAAGAATTGAATTTTACCTTCTCTTTCCAGTCCAGTGATCCAGTCTGAGGAAGAGATCATGAACAGATGAACACATGATTCATTTAATCACTTGTCAAATATTTTTTGGAATGTCTCTTTCCATTTCCCCAACTCTTCTCTGCAACAGCTTTTCAGATTGTTGAGGTAACAAACCATCTGCTGAGGCAGAATATGCTTTCAGCTCGAGGAAATGGAGGTCAACGGCAAGTATAAAGAAAACAGGAAAAGACAAGAAAATGAAGGAAGGCGATTGCATTGCAATCCAAGGTTTTGCAGTGTAAAACTTTTAACCTATTTATATTAGTTTTAGGACACTTTGTATATTTATGACATGCCATCGTTTTATTTGACAATGTATCATTTTTATGCTCTGATTTTTGAGCCCATGAAAATAGACCTAATGGCAACATTGTTATCTTAAGGCTACTCACTTCAACATATTAGCTTAGCACCTACTGCTGCTTTTTGAACTTTTTTTTAACAATAGCTCAACAATTTAGAA